GGGCGACAGGCGAAAATCAATGCGCGCGCGGATGTCATCCATAAAATTAAGTCGATGTCGCCTTACAGACATACTGGGGAATGTCTATTCTAATAACATTCTTTCTGTTTTGGATCTATTTGACACAGGCCACCCGAAGACGAGAGTCTTTGTAACCCATGCAGGATACAATGGCTTGTCCGAGGCCCTGCACCACGGCGTGCCCATGGTGTGTCTGCCGCAGTTCGCGGACCAGCCCGGTAACGCCGCCCGGGTGGTGGCCAGGGGACTGGGGGTGAAGTTAGACATCAGCGCGGTAACCACGGACCAGTTGTATCAAGCCATTCGTCATGTTCTCACCAACAACAGGTACTGGTGGTTAGGATTAAAGCTCGTCTGCGTTCAGCACCAAGGACAGTTTTGTTAGTGTAGGAAGTGTTCAGCACCAGGGAGACTGTATTGTTGGTGTGAAAAGTGTTCAGCACCAGGGACTGTATTGTTGGTGTGGAAAGTGTTCAGCACCCAAGACAGTTTTGTTAGTGTGGACAGTGTTCAGCACCAGGGACAGTATTGTTAGTGTGGAAAGTGTTCAGCACCAGAGACAGTATTGTTAATGTGGAAAGTGTTCAGCACCAGGGACAGTATTGTTAGTGTGGACGTGTTCAGCACCAAGGACAGTATTGTTGGTGTGAAAAATGTTCAGCGCCATGGACAGTATTGTTAGTGTGGAAAGTGTTCAGCACCAAGGACAGTATTGTTGGTGTGAAAAATGTTTAGCGCCAGGGACAGTTTTGTTAGTGTGGAAGTGTTCAACACCAGGGACAGTATTGTTAGTGTGGACGTGTTCAGCACCAAGGACAGTTTTGTTAGTGTGGAAAGTGTTCAGCGCCGGGGACAGTATTGTGAGTGTGGACGTGTTCAGCACCAGGGACAGTATTGTTAGTGTGGACGTGTTCAGCACCAGGGACAGTATTGTTAGTGTGGAAAGTGTTCAGCACCAAGGACAGTATTGTTGGTGTGAAAAACGTTCAGCGCCATGGACAGTATTGTTAGTGTGGAAAGTGTTCAGCACCAAGGACAGTATTGTTGGTGTGAAAAATGTTTAGCGCCAGGGACAGTGTTGTTAGTGTGGAAGTGTTCAGCACCAGGGACAGTATTGTTAGTGTGGACGTGTTCAGCACCAAGGACAGTTTTGTTAGTGTGGAAAGTGTTCAGCGCCAGGGACAGTATTGTTAGTATGGACGTGTTCAGCACCAGGGACAGTTTTGTTAGTGTGGAAAGTGTTCAGCGCCGGGGACAGTATTGTTAGTATGGACGTGTTCAGCACCAGGGACAGTATTGTTAGTGTGGACGTGTTCAGCACCAGGGATAGTATTGTTAGTGTGGACGTGTTCAGCACCAGGGACAGTATTGTTAGTGTGGACGTGTTCAGCACCAGGGACAGTATTGTTGGTGTGAAAAATGTTCAGCGCCAGGGACAGTATTGTTAGTGTGGAAAGTGTTCAGCACCAAGGACAGTATTGTTGGTGTGAAAAATGTTCAGCGCCAGGGACAGTATTGTTGGTGTGAAAAATGTTCAGCGCCAGAGACAGTATTGTTGGTGTGAAAAATGTTCAGCGCCAGAGACAGTATTGTTAGTGTGGAAAATGTTCAGCGCCAGGGACAGTATTGTTGGTGTGAAAAATGTTCAGCGCCAGGGACAGTATTGTTGGTGTGAAAAATGTTCAGCGCCAGGGACAGTATTGTTGGTGTGAAAAATGTTCAGCGCCAGGGACAGTATTGTTGGTGTGAAAAATGTTCAGCGCCAGGGACAGTATTGTTAGTGTGGAAAGTGTTCAGCACCAGGGACAGTGCTGTTAATTTGGGGCATGTAGAAGCCACAAATACAGTGAAAATGTTACGGTCGACTCCACGCCAACATTTACTAATGTTATGCCCTCCCACAGCTACCGTGAGACGGCCGCCCGCCTGTCCCGTCTGCACCGTGACCAGCCCCAGTCACCCATGGAGCGGGCCGTCTGGTGGATAGAACACGTCATCCAACATGGCGGCCTGCCCCATCTCCGCGCACGCGCCGTGGAGCTGCCGTGGTACCAGTACTACCTGCTGGACGTGGCTGTGTTCCTGCTGTCCGTCTGTTCAGCTGTCCTGGGGACCGTGTGGTGCGGCTGCTCCTTCGTTTGTAGAAGGTTATGTTGTAAAACTGACAGCAAGCTCAAGTCACAGTAGCTCTCCGCGGTTGTAATGCATAAAATTTTCAATGAGTGCCATAAGGCCACAGCAAGTGATTTTTATGGATGACATCAGCGCGCGCATTAATTTTCGCCTGATTTTGAAAAAAAAAATTTTGTTGCCTTCTGACAGAGGTCAACATGCCGAAAATGGGCAAAGATGTCTGCTGCCATGCCGGAACGTGGATGGAAGATTACTATGAAGAGAGGAGACAAGAAAAGGCATCTGATTTAATGTTTTGTTTCTTACTTTGATGCAGTGATATGTGATGCTGGCTGTGTATATGTGATGATCCCACCGAATAAAAACCATTTGTACAATGATTTGAGTCAAATTCTAAAATGTAGGAATGTAGGAGTCTACGGGGGATGTCATCCATAAAATTTACTTGCTGTGGCCTAAGTCACAAACACAAGCTTCGTCTCTGAGAAGAAAACATGTCTATTAAATATAATATTTCATTCATCTAATACTGTATAAAAATGTGTTGATTCCCATGACCGGAAAAACGCCAGTTTTGTACACTACGTCAAGCAATTTTCTTACTTTGGTGGACATGAGTACATAGCTTTGGTTAGGGACGTCCCAGAATAGGATAATAAATGGAGGTCCCGTGTTTGGGGACAGCCACACCTCACGCGTGTTAAAGAATCCACCATACACACCTTTCGGAAAAGATTAGGGGCATGTCCCGGTGTGCGATGGTCTAAATACTACTATCTGATGAAAGTCGGTGATTCATTACGGAAGGAAGGATAGGCGAAATAACAAATACCACAGCACATGTTTATAGTACTCAGTGTGGAATTTGCAATGAGGATAAAAATCATACACATACGTTCATTGAACCGGCTACACAACTACAACACCAGACAGACCTCACTACTGCACAAACCTAACTACACAACTACAGCTGGTCACCGCACATTTGCATTCCGATGCACGACACTTCCAGCAGACCTAAGACATGTACCTACACTATCTCAGTTTAAAGCAGGCTTGAAACATATGTCATATGAAACCTGACCTCTGACCTCCATTCCTTGATTTTCGTGCTTTTGACCTTGAACGGCTAGGACTTTGAGTATTGGACTACGACTCTGTTTTGACGAATCGGACTTTTATGTTTACTGTATGTTGTCTTACTGTACGTTACTATGTCCTGTGTAATTTTGCTGGGCCCCCTTGGAAAACAGCTGATTCAAGCTGAATTGGGGCTACCCAGCCGTCTTGAGATGAAATAAATAAATAAATAAATAAATGAATGTCGCAGACTGAACGACCATGGAACAGTACTAAAGAACAACTGTCTCAACTTGGTACAAATATAGAAATCAACTCAGCACCTATACTCTTGGGAGATTGTAATCATTTGTACGTATCCCTAACAAAATATGATATATTCTTATCTTGTGTTACGTTTAAGGATACCCCCACTCTGTTAGAAAAACACGACATTCTGCAACTTTTTAATGTACTATATAGAAACAGATGTATAAGTTCGTCTGTAATCTTGTGATCTTTAACAGACACTGCTGATTTACTGTACTGAGTATCTATCAGCAGGACTTTTCTTTTGTCACGAAGTAAATAATTATGTACAAATATGCTTGTTGGAATAAAGTTGGGAAGAATAGTATTGAATTTACACTAATGGAGATCCTGTCAAACAACCACACAGTGCTTCTGTACCCTTATGTAACAAAATCCCTCCACTAATCCCTAGTAAAATGAACACAAAAACTGCCGCGTGTATTCAAATAACATCAGCATTATAAACTTTATTCAAAACGAACTTTGTGTGCGCTTTGCATGGGACAATCTGACAAAACATACAAATATTGCACATATTTCAAACAATAAACTTTTTACGCAATTCACAGTGTGGACTTATGACCATACAATTTCTTCAGCGAATTTTAACACTTCAAACCTGTTACCCCTCTTAGTAGATGGACTTGGTATATTCCACAATGTCATAGAAACTGACTGGGTGCCCTCTTATTACATCACATATTGTATGTAGGATAAATTGAGCAAAAAATGTTCGATTGGGTCAGAAGCAATATGTAAAGCACTTTCCTGAAAGTTCCAACTGAATTAATTTCTTTTAACCGATTTCTAGGGCCAGGGGTACACCTTTTAACGATAGCTAGTGGAGTACTCTTCTTCACTGTCACTTTAACTTGCACTATCCTGTTACAGATGGACGGTATAGGCCGATCCTGATTCAATCAACGATAGCATTGGTTCGACCAATGAGAGAGCAACTGCATGTTCTTGTGCATACATAAACGTTTGACGTACATGCAGCCACTTTCTCATTGGTTGAACCGCTAATGACCCCCCTCTCATTGGACAGTCAGTCTATCCTATGACAGAGGACGTAGCAGAGCCCTCTTCAACCCTTTGGACGCCTCTTCTCTTACTCTGCCGACCAATCGCCGTGCCTGTACTATGGTGGGTTTGGCCGGTCGCGTCCTCGCGTGGTATTCCATCTGCAGTTTCTCCAGCCGGGTCAGGCTGGGGGAAAACTTCTGTTCAACCGCCGCCTCTTCCATCTTGATGTTTTTCACGACTGCTTGGACGACAGTTTCACTGGTGATGTCCTTCCAGAAATCTTCGTCTTCGCCTTGTTCTTCTGTCACGATAGACACCGAGCGAACTCGACTGCTCCTCCTACTGCCTTTTTTCGTCTCCTCTACGCGCTCATCTTCTTCCTCCTCTTCTTCTGTCATGTCGTCTTCTCCTTGCTCGTATTTCATCCATTCTTTCCACATTCTTTTGTCACTGTCCTCTTCGTCTGAGCCAGTTTCTTCTTCTTCTCTTTGTAGCGTCGACTCCAGGATGGTAGAAAGCTGTCTTTGACCGAGACCCTTACCGGGGGAGTCAACCTTTCTCTTAGGCTCGTGGACCTTCTTTTCCCGCGGTTTATTTTTGACCGCAGACGAGACGGAGGTTGGGGGCGGGGGAGGAGGAGGAGGTTTTGGCGGGAACTCAGGTGGGGTCACTACGGTTCTGTCATGTTCTGTAAACTCGCTAGATGGCGTTACAGGCGTCGATCCACTGACGCTTCGATACGACTCTTGGACGTCATCGTCAACTATTTCTTCGCCATCAACTCCGTAGAGAATGTCTTTGAGGATGGATGGTTTCTCCCCTTGGGTCGGAACCCTATCCTCGGTCACGCTGGAAAACGTTGAGGCATCTTCGGTATCAGTGCTTGTCTCATCATCGTCCCAAGCGCTCATCATACGAGATCTACCCACGGTGAACGAAAACTGGTGCCCCTTGGTTTTCTTTTTGCCCGACTTTTTCTTCTTCTTCTTTCGTCCTTTCTTGCCCGATTTTTCACTACGAGAATCATCTGTTGGAGCGATTCCTAGCTTTACAGCGTCGCAGAGATTGGAGTGTCCTTTCGGAGTCCTAGGTCTGGGACTGGACAGTCTACGGAGGGATTCCGGGGACGGGACTGGAGACCGCGGCGGGCGCGGAGGCTTGGGTTCCGGCGGACGGTTCCTCTCGGCTTCGGCCTTTCGCTTCGCCGACCGGATCCGGAAACCCTTCCCCAGTGCGATGTCGATGTCTTCGTCTAGGTGGACCTTCGTTTTCACTTCCTATCAGATGGGAGTAAAAAATGCGGATTAGAGACATGGAAATGAGGTGGCAAACACACGCAATATTCATTCTTACAACAAAAGTCGGCGTTTAAGATCTGCACTGCAAAAACGGCCGTTTGTAAGGTTAGAATTACTGGAAAGAAATTGGTGATTTTGGACTGCCGGGAAGTGTATTGGATTGTTCTTAAATGTACTGAATTCGTGACGGGGATTGTACATTTTTGTACCACCCACTAACTTCCGCCCGGCGCTTACCATGCCAGGTCGATTTCGGGTATCACCCCACGTCCTGAATTCCTCCACATACCGCCCCACTTACTCCCACTGGCGCGTGCTGAGTCGTCTTTAAGTAATGAAACCGAATAGTTTAATGACTGTATATGCCAACCAAGGAGCCCAGCATGGGACTCTTAATCCATGGGTCGTGGGTTCGAGCCCCACATCGGGTGAACTCAATATTTTTTTCCGTAATTAAAAAAAAATCAAAATCGTAAGAGTACTTACCAAAGTTTCTAGATTGTACTGCAGCTTTTTCAGCTCGTCATTTTGCCTCTCCAGGTCGTCCCTTGTCACCAGGGTGGCCGTTTTCGGTCTCTTGTAGTCCGGAGTCTTCAACTTCGGGACAGGCACGACCAGCGTCCAGTCGGACTCCGTGATCTTCCCCACCGAGGACTGCCGCCGGGACGTCGCCGTGGTAGCCCTGCTTTTTCTCCCGAGAGACCGGGCTATGTGTCCGCGGGACCCCGACGCGTACGACACGCTACTTCGCGCAGAGATTGCCGACATACGTTTGGATCTATCGTGGTACTGATTATTTTGGTTCCCCCTTTCAACCCCTTTGTCTGACGCTCTCCTTCCCAAACCACTTGGAGATTGGTCTCTTTCAGGAGATGATTCAATTAACTGTTCATCCAATTGCGAGGCAGATGTCGGCCTGTCCTTGTTCTTTGCTATACCGTGAGCTCGCGCTTGTATCACTTGTTGTGTGGTGCTATCTATAATTTTCTGAAGCCGCTTGTACGTTGTAGTATGAGTCTTAAACTGTTCTGTGTTCTTTTCTTTGTCGACAGGATTTTCCCGGAACTGTTTTCTGTCACCGAAACTCACATCTCCGTAATTTAGCTCCGTTGCTTCGAATTCCTTGTTCAGAAGTTCGAAGACTTTTTCGTCGTAGGTGTGGAAGACTTCTTTCACCTTGTCCATTTGGTAGAGTCTTCGCCAGTTCTTGTCTGGTCCTTTGACGCGAGTGTCTTTGACGTTGACGTCGTCCCACATCTTGCAGAGGATGAGTAGATCCATGAACTCGTAGATCTGAATGCGTCCCTTGGCTTCGTAGTTTTCCTTCAGGTGTTTAACTCTGTGCATGAGTTTCAGGGGCGCCACCGTGCGGCCGCACATCTTCAGTGTACGTAACAACGCCTTTTCGTTTATTATCATTCCTGTTAAAGAAGAAAAGAAATAACAGTTTAAGAGTCTATTCATAAAAACCAGCCTCGCAGTCTGTACCAAAATATGCTGAATAACACTGATTTTTTTTAGTTACTTGTCTGGCAAATACAAATTAACATTGCAATACATATACATGTACAAACACACGAACAAAAACATTATAAAAAGCCTTACATGGGCACTAAAGACCAGAGAGTCCTAAGAGTCTTACTGCAAAGACTCGTAGTACAGGCATATTGCCTTGTGTTTTTCAAATTCAAATAAGAATTGTATTACTTCTGTATTTATTTATTTATTTATTTATCTACATGTATTTTTGATCTACTACATTTGCGGAAGGATGGGAATAACAGGTGACTATCACCTTGTCAGCAGGGAAGGTTTGAACCACTTAATACATATATCTATACAGGGCTCGAAATTCATTTTGGGGAACAGGTGCACTGGTGCACCCAACCTAAAAAATTAGGTGCACAAAATTTTTTTTGAGTGCACCATATAAAACAAAACCTAATTACATATCTTACTGCTCCTGTTCTGAGCTTGAATCTGAAATCGGAGCTAACGTCAAAATCTTAAACAAATACTTCAACAAAGATTTTACTATTTTCTGACACTAAGATGCATACTATTATACATTTGATATGTACAAAAAATACCTACAAAAATATTTGGGTGCATATTGGGTGCACGGCTCCAATTTTGGGTGCACTAAGGTGCACATGCACCCAGTATTTCGAGCTCTGGTATAATAACATGCGCATGCACCCCTAGTCTGGACTTTTCAATAAGTGTGGTGGTCACATCTGAGAGGCCGCCTTGTAGGTTTCGCTGGCCGCGCCTTCGGAGGGAAAGAAACTACCTCCCCACGGCCGGACTCCCTTGGCCTATTTTATTATCTTTTTTTTGCGGAATTCTACGATCCGTATTCCCGTAGAAAGGCCTGGTGGAGACTAGGCGGGTATCACAAGAACGGATTGGGCGTCGACTACACCAGACGTTGTTTTAAATTCGAGAACAAAGCTGACTAAAAAACACACACTCACAACCCACTTCTAGTCAACCCACCATTACTGACTCAAACAAAGCCATCTATTGGTCCCATTTATTACCCACAATCCACCGCCACCTCTGCAAACATTGGGTAAGTGACAGGCAGGGATAGCTTTTCAGCCGTCGTGGGAATTTTTCTTTGACGCGGAAAAAAATAGACGGGTACTATATCAGCTGTATTGTATACGTGGCCTTGCGTCTATGCTTGCCAAAAAAGCATGTTGAATATTTCATTATCCTGTGGCTACAACATGTCTAAAACGTGCCGTACGTTTGTTTGAAGAAGCAGAACTGACAAAAGGATTTCATCAGTTGATTAACCAAATGTACAGCTACAAATTGACTGCTTAGTTGAGTTAGGAGACAATTGTATACTAGTAGTTTTTCTGTGCAAAATTGATACAAAATGCACTTGGGGAGCCCAGAAAGGTTTATTTAGAATACTATTGTGCTTGGGACTGTTTCTGACAAGGCGACTAGACGTACGTTTAATGGCCGGAACGGAGCAAACCAATTTAAACTTGTCCGTTCAGCGATTGGTCGCGATAACCAGGTTAGTGGATACACTGTTTGTCACCACTCAATCACAGGTTTGAATAGCGGGCCGTTATTGGAAAAGGTCTGCAAACACCGATCAATTACTTGAGGTAACAAGGAGACGTTTCGCAAACAAAGGCCACAAAGGCGCGGACTCTTCAACGCGCGAAAACTAGGTTACTCCGCAACATAGACCACAGAAATCACACCAATAAATCGGAAAAAAATTGTAATTTATACTTATAACTGCTATAAATCTCTACTTTATGATGGCAGTTTTATTTCTAGGAAACGGTAAACGGTAACGTTACAAACACTCAAAAACAGGAACGGTCTTTTTCAAGTCAAAACAGGTGTGTGACTATTGTATCCTGTTCAAATTAGATTTTCTTGTCCGCTCTTCTACTTTTCACATAAGACGGGAGTAATAAAAAAGGCAGCAACCAGAGACCCTGAAAATATTCCCATTCATTCGCTAGCCCCTGACCAAAGGCTTTATGCGGGTCCCACGCCACAAAGCTACGTTTGAATGAGACTTTTGAAAAGTACTGTTACCTAAATCCGACTGTTGTGCCCAAGTCCTCAAGAGAGGAAAGAAAGAAGGTAGAGACCAAATACTCGCACTTAAAAAATATCCTTAAAAGATCAGTACAAACCGATCTATGTTTTCAAGCTCATCAACCTTAAACGTAATGTTTTACAAAGAGAATGAAAGGGATCAAAAGAAATGTAGAATATTCTTACCGTGCATATCGTGGTGTTCGTAGGCTACGTATGCCACCCGTATTTCGTGGATCTCCTGAAAGTTGAGAAAGCGGTGATCCAAAAGGACCAGACATTTCTTGATGAGCTGACAGTTGTAGTGTGCCGTGTGGAGGTTATACGTCAGGTGGAAAGCCTCGTTGAAGAAGTTCAGTTCCATCAACCGAGAAACCTGTCGGAAACTCACTCCGGCCTCTCCCTCGGCAAAGTCCGGAATCACCCGCTCGAAAACGTCCACCTGGTAACCGAGGGCCCTGGCGAGGCATCGTAACTCCTCCCAGGTGTAGTAACCCTTCCGTTTGGGAAATGTCAAGTGCATTGTCCGGCGATTATTCCAAGACGTTGACAGTAGAAGTCCGACACCACCTGTTGCTACGTCGCCATGTTTCCAAAATATAACGGAGACCTTGCGGTATCACGTGTCCGGCGCTGGAATAGTTCAACTTGTCTGCGTCTTTCTTATTCACCCAAAAGTAAGCACCGAAAGATCATAAAATCAACACATTTACACCAAAACCACTACTAGTTGCTCACAAATTCTATTAGAATTGTTAATACACAAGGCCTAGTGATTATGTAATCGTTTGAAGCACCAACACACCTATAATGAATAATGGTTTCTTCCATTCAGTCAGTCTGACCTTCGACCTTGTTGTTGCCGTCTGACAATCGATTTTATCCGACAAAATAGATCATATTTTCGACTTTGGATCAAAAACAAACCGTCTGAATGGTCTGAACTGAGGGAAAGGTAGATCACAACACCGCTGTCAAGGCTTAGGCGTGAACAAACACGACTAATTCGGCTGACAAAACAGAGAAATTCGATTCCTTTTTGGGTGTGGGAGGGCGCGAGTGGTCGCAGACGACAGAAAGTTGAAAGTTCGTGGGCATATCTGGACAACAGTCACCGTTATGGCGGACGGAGACGATCTAGATTTCAACCCGTTCTTCCAGGCGTTACAGGTGAGGGTCAAGACCGCATACAAGTCCCAGACACGGGGTATATTTGAGTTGTGTGTGTTTGGGAGAGGGAAAAAACAAAGTGATGTTTGTGTGTGTGTTGGCAGTAAGTTGGGAAGGGGCTGTCAGCTGTTCTAGATGTCAGCATACCATAATAATGATAGTGCGTCAGTGCAAATGTCTTGTCTTCTTTGGGGGGTTAAGGTAGCCAACATCAACTTGCTGATCATTCTGCTACACTGTAGAATTGGGCTGTAGAATTTGGACCATCACACACCGGGGCATGCCCCCTACTCTTTTTCGAAAGGTGTGGTGGGTTCTTAACTTGTGTTGGGTGTGGCTCTCCCTAAACACGGGACATCCATATAACGTCCTATCAGAGGGACGTCCCTAACTGAAGCTAGGTACTCATTTACACCTGAGTGAAGTGAGGAAAGTTGTGTAAAGTGCCTTTCCCAAGGGCACAAGATCGGTGACATGGGTCAGGGGATCGAACCCGGGACCTCTTGGTCCTGAGACGAATGTGCTACCACTGCGCCACACTACCCCACGAATTGACAGACACAGAATGTCACCCCTGTAATATGTACACCGTATGTCGTCCCTGTAATATACACACCATATAACACGTACTGGAAGTTTCTACCATACAAAAAAATCCGTAGCTTCATCGAGCTTGGGTTCTTAGCATTGTGGACGATAACAAAAATTGGCTTGCTTTTAACATTACATAAGGGTCTGCATTCCTTTTTCTGTGAGGCATAGTGAGCCATATCAGCATAATTTCGAATTCACCATCAATCGTATCCGGCCACTCAAAGTGAAGTGTGATTACCTTCGCCAAGAAGGTAACAATAAATATGTTTTCAGGGGCGTTTGTGTGTGTGTGTCTTCTTCTTCTTCTTGGTACTCTCGAAAAACCCCTACTGGGGTATCACTGAGAGGGGGGGGTTACGACGGACTATGGCTGCGCGGCCAGGAGTCCGGCCTTAAAGGCCTCCACTGTCTGGGCTTTTACTAACTGTCCCGGCAGCTTATTCCACTTTTTTATGTTTGTGGAAAAAAAGAAAATCTTACGATGGGGGTTACGACGGACTATGGTTGCGCGGCCAGGAGTCCGGCCATAAAGGCCTCCACTGTCTGGGCTTGTACTAACTGTCCCGGCAGCTTATTCCACTTTTTTATTGTTTGTGGAAAAAAAGAAAATCTAAAACAGTCTGTTTTGGCAGATATTACTTGATATTTATATTCATGACTTCCTCTGGTGCGCTTATGGGCAGGTATATGTGTGTGTGTGTGTGTGTGTGTGTGTGTGTGTGTGTGTGTGTGTCTGTCTGTAAGCAAGATAACTCGAGAAGGTTTACATGCCTTGGATTGTCTTCATACCGGTAGTACTGTAGGTCTTGATGAGACCTGGAAATGGAGACTTGATAATGACTTGATCTGTGTCACTATGTTTGAGTTATCTTCTTCAAGCAGATGTAAGGGGATGATAATTTTCTATCACAGTGACAGAAGCATCCGACAAAGAAGTCTGGAATATCTGATTTGTTGCTTTCTATTTCTGCAGACAACATTTAAGCAGCAGTACAGCATAGCCAGACATAAATGCCACCTAGTGTGCATCCCTGCTACTGACACACTACAGGGCAGGACCATCAACCAGAGATTTGTGGGTAGGTATTGCAAACATGTATTGTTTTCACTGTCGTCAATGGGCACCGCCATATTGGATTTTGACATACGTACAGGTGCCATCTTATTGGGTTTTTGACAACATTTTATTTATCTTATTTTCATTTATTTTATTTTCTGTCATTTTTATACAGGGTGGCCCATTAAGTGATTATGTACTTCTTTTCAATGGGGCCCTGTTTTACACAACAAAACACAACAGTCACATACAAACAGTAAAATTGGGATACAATAAATAATGATAATGGCAATGATAATAATAATAAGTAAAAGAAATGAGCGTTAACAATGACTTTTTGTCCATTTTACAGAGACTCATATTTTGAGGACATCACCTTTTTTTCAAGGGTAAGCCTTTTATTTTTCCTATCATTATGAGTAGTTGGCCTATGATTATATTTGCAAACAGAATGTAAAAAAATCATAATTCTAATCAAAATGTATGTCTACTGTCTGAAAAGTTATCTATTCAAAAACTTTACTTCTTTCAACTTGCAAGTAAGAACAGTTATCTATTGGGCTGATGATGTCTCCGCAGGGCTCAAAATTCATTTTTTGGGAATAGGTGCACTGGTGCACCCAACCTAAAAAATTAGGTGCACAGAAAACGTTTTGGGTGCACCATATAAAACAAAACAGATCTTACTGCTCCTCTTCTGAGCTCGAATCTAATATTGGAGCTAAATTCAAATCTTAAACAAGTATTACAACAAAGGTTTTATGATTTTTGTGACACTTGGATGCCAAGAATATCCAAGAATATACACATACATTTGATATGTACAAAAATACCTACAAAAATATTTGGGTGCACCAGTGCACCCACAGAAAAACATTGGGTGCACAGATCCAATTTTGGGCGCACTAGTCCAGTGGTTAGCGACCCTGCCTCTGGAAAAAAAGTCGTGAGTTCTGGAAAGGTCACAGTACTTAGGATGGGATGTTAATCCATGGTCCACTGTTCACTGTGCTTGGCAAAAGAGCTAGGGGAATTTCCCCTGTACAATGAACCTTAATATACTTTACATAGTGTCTGTCTTCTCTGTCACAACCAGTGGAAGAGTAACTCTTTAAGTTTGTTTGAGCTACAGCTGTATTTTATCCAATTTAGTGTCTCTTGTTCCTCTAAGCGTTGCATAACTAATGCTGAGGCTTGAAGGCAGCCTGCCATTTGCCTAAACTGGTTTGAAATCACTTTCATTTTGAATTCACTTTAATTTACTTTCACTCAACTACAGGCAGTACATTAGTACAGACAAGGATGGCAGTAAGACCATTGCAGTGGAGGAGGGCAATATTGTCACATTAGAAGGTAGTCACCATAGTTTGTTTCTTTATTTGTTAGGCCACGCCAATTTAATTAGTTGTTTCTTGGATTCTCCCTGTCCATATTTTTCTGCAAAAAAAAAAAATTTAGGTTCTAAATCAACTGCAAAATGCACAATAAAAGACATATTTTGCCTTGAACAGTTGAAGAACGTCCTCTTCTTCCTAGTTGTTAAAGTTTTTCAATGTAGTAACAATGCAACTTTGTTTCATTTAAAGTTCAAAATATATTGTTTTAATTATAAACCAGCCAGGTATGTTGACTTCATAGCTCATAGTGTACCATTTTTGGCTATCATGGGGTGCCTTAATGTTTTTTGCTTGGCCTGTTTTTTTTTTTTTTTTTGCCCTGTCGCTTAATCTTTTTTCTGAAAAAATCTGTGAACCAACAAATTAAATTGGTGTGGCCTAATATCACTTTGTTACCTAGATGTGTACAGAGGCTTTTTTTCATTGTTTCTGTGTGTGTATGCCTGTGTGTGTGTCTGTGTTTTCATAGTTATTTCCACATGCTTATGGCATGTTGGTATAATTACAGGAAGTTACATGTAGGTCAAAGGTCCCAGAAAAAGTTATCTTATTTCCTGTCTTCAATAATTTATAGTACAGTGTACTTGTATATGCTTGACTGGTGTCTTATGGGAGCCAGTGGGAAAATGCATATAGACAGAATAAGCAAAAAAAAGTCACAATAATGAATAAAACAAGAAATTCACAAAATTCTTAATGCTTCACAAAAGTGTGAAATTTTTGTCATTAGATCTAGTCAATGCTTTGAGATATTTCTAACCAACTGTAAGACTGAAATATAATATTTGCTAATTCTTACTACTTGAAGCAATACATTTTTGTGTTTATGTTGTAGTTTAATTCTGTAATTCTCATGTATTCAGGGTTTCAAGACGAAGCTGAAGTTAGAATTTTGTCAGAGGAACTTGCTTATAATGAGGTACGTTTACTTGTATCTATTTCCTCTTCAAAATGACAAAGTTTAGCAAGTGTATATCTACAATAGTGAAAAACATGATTTTATTTATATGCATGTCAAATTTTTTATCTTCTTGAGCTAATGCTTTTAAATTCATTTAATCATAGGACGTTATATGGATGTCCCGTGTTTGGGGATGATGATGATGATAGCAGTATTACTTTCAAAATTGAAGGTGTACATATATGTATGGATTTATTACCTTCGCCAAGAAGGTTATGTTTTCAGAGGCGTTCGTGTATGTGTGTGTGTGTGTGTGTGTGTAAACACGATAACTTGAGAAGGCTTAAATGGACTGACTTGATATTTGGTAGTTGGGTAGGCCTTGATGAGACCTCAAAATGATTAGATTTTGGGCCCCCTGGCGGCTTGTCATGGTACTGCAGCAGAACTTCCGGTTTTGATATCTCATGATACAGACAAGCTAGGGTAACCAAATTTGGATGGTAGATAGCTCTTGTGCTGCGAATAAAGTGACATGAGTTTGAGCCCCCTAGTTGCTTGCTCTAGAACTGCAGGGGGGTTTAAAAGACAAATGTTTAAAAGAGGAAAACTCAAGAACCGATTGATGGATCATCGTGAATTTTGGTATGTAGGTAGCTTAAGTGATGCTTGACATAATGAGATTACAATTATGCAAATATGAATGTAATTTGCATAATTAATGAGGAAATTCTCTAAATCAGCTGCATTCCATTATTGGAAGTCCAAGCTTGTAACATATGTTATTAAGAACGAGAGAAACACAGGCAGATATCGATTATGCAAATGAAGACTTAATTTGCATAATTAATGAGAAAATGTTATAATTGCATGGTGGTAACTGCCTTGAATTTCATACTTGGGGTGTTTGAAAGTTAAGTGAAGGTGAGCATAATTAAACATAACTTACTCAAATAAGGACCACATTTGCATAATTTATGAGGAAATGCTATGATGGCATTCTTTGTTAAGATAAGACTGTCTTTTGGTGTAGAATATGATCAACAGATATAATTCATGCAATTGAGGATCCTATTTGCATAATGAGGGGGATTAATATATAATTTCTTATTCATAAAGGCTAACTTCATTTGGCGAAGGTATGAGATCGTGGAACTCTAGTTATACATGTATTAGTAAGATAATTGTTCAATGTTGGAAGTTTGAAAATGATGTATCTATGTGTTGTTTTTCAGGACTACAAACCATACAAGATTTTAGTCATAGAAAGACCTTTAGATGGGACAGTACAAGCAGTAAGTATCTTATGTCTTTAACCTATGTCTTTATGTCTTTAATTCTATATTATAAGTATTCTATATTATAAGTATTACCAATGTACTCAGTATCAAGCTATGAATATATTTAAAACAAAACTCTTACAGAGATTTTTTACAAAATTATGTTCGTCTCTTTAATTTATCTTTGAAGGAGGAAGTGACAATGGAATAAGCACAGTATATAGTAGAGGGGATTTATTCCTTGAGCTAACTGACATCTTGCACACACAGTCGTCCCTTGAAGTAAGACACCTGGAGCCGCATAGTTCCCGTTCAGTACTTTTATTCAGCCTGTCACACAATGGTATAAGCACAGAATCAGTGAAAAATTCACAATAATACAAAAAGAAGAAATTCTAAATATACTGTACTTAACAGAGCTGTAAATTTAATTTTCTTGTCTTTCTGGTATTTCAGTCTGCTTCCAGAGCAAGATCCCAGTCTATGTTGGGAGATGCACAAAGGATTACCTATCAAGAGTAAGTGGCATTTTTAATCCATTATACATTAGTAAATAAAGCTTTTTCTTCAGGCCAGCAACTAGATTTTAGATAATTTTTTTAAAATGAAGATTTACCACATTTGTGTCAGGAGTTGACATAACAGGTGAATATCACCTGTTCAAGATGTCAAACCTGAGACCAGACTGTAAGGTTTGAACCACTCACACTGGGAAGGTCCCCTACTCTTTTCGATAAGTGCGATGGGCTCTTTAATGTGTGTGGGGTATGGCTCTCCCGAACACGGGACCTCCATTTAATGTCCTATCCGAGGGACGTCCCTAACCGAAGCTAGGTACTCATTTACACCTGAATGAAGTGAGAAAAGTCATGTAAAGTGCCTTTCCCAAGGGCACAAGATCGGTGACATCTGGCAGGAATCGAACCCTCGACCTCTTGATTCTGGGCCGTACACTCTACCGCTACGCCACACGACCCCTCAACCAACACATTTTGATTTTTCTGACACTAGCACACTTGTGCCTTTGAAAAGTTTTTGTTTTTATCACAGACTGTAGTGTTCATTACATTATAGAAAGCAGTTGCAAGCGAAAAAAACATATTGTTATAAGAATAAGAAACAGAGTATTTGCTTGTTATAGGTAATGTTTTCACAAGTATCATGAACAAAACCATGTTCTTTTTTTTCAGAAACCATCAGTATTTATTTTCCTTTCCAGAATGTAAAAAGGTATGTTTATTTTGCCTCTATGTTTCTAAAAGGTCCCTGAATATGTGACAGGGGCTTTCTTGACCACAACGTACACGTATTCTTTAATTCTTAACATATTGCATGTAGATCTAATAGACTTTGTATATCAAACATTGCTTCCCAGACTTACACTGTCAAGCATAAACATTTAGTGTAAAGTGTTTCTTAAATCTATTGATAATCATATTATAGGCCACACTATATTGATGACATCCCTGCTCACATTAAGTTTTGTATGTGCCCCCCCCCCCAAAAAAAAAGAAAATTAAAACCATACTGTTTCTTCAAGTACTTGAACTAAGGATGACAAAGGTTGTATTAATAATGATAATAAGAATTCTGTGTCCAAAGACACAGAAGATGAGAACCAAAATAAAGAATTTCATTGTTTGGTATACCATGCTCTTTTTTGTTTAACCTTCCTGATTGCTTCGATTTCATATGATGAAGGCAATTTTTTTTCCCAACTTCTTTTTTTCACACACTTGAATTAGTTTTGCAGTGCTCGGAGGATGTCATCCATATAATCAAATCAGTATGGCTGTATATGTATGTAGAGGAAAAGCAACATTGTTGACCAAATTGTTAATTTCTGTCTGGGCTCCTTTTCCACCAGGCTTTAGTTAGACTGGACAGGAACATCACAGAGTTCACCAACAATTACATGATAGTGACTGGATATCTGGACCATGCAGTACAAAAACTACAGGGCATCTGTCAGCAAGCAACTGAGGTACATGTTGGTGTGTGTGTGTGTGTGTGTGTGTGTGTGTGTGTGTGTGTGTGTGTGTGTGTGTGTGTGTGTGTGTGTGTGTGTGTGTGTGTGTGTGTGTGTGTGGTGTGTGTGTGTGTACGTGTGTGTGTGTGTGTGTGTGTGGTTGTGTGTGTGGTGTGTGTGTTTGTGTGTGTGTGTGGTATGTGTGTGTGCATGTGTGCAAGGGGGGGAACTCTTATCTAACAGTATTAATGAAAATCTTTGGTGGCAAATTATTACTTTTTGGTACTGAAGTACTAGTGCTACTTATGATTTGGTTGTGGGTTTGTGTGTCTGTGTGTCTGGTCAGACTGGTTGACAGCATGTGGGGTGTGAAGAAGATTGACAAGCAGAATGACGGGAGTTCAAAGGGTCAGACACAGGAAGCACAATGAACTTGAGAGCAAGTTGACAGCATGTGGGTGGGAGAAGATTGACAGGCAAAAAGATAGGATGCCTAAAGGTCAGACACAGGAAATTGGGTAAATCGTAAAGAAAACCAAAATACTTCCTGGAAGTCTAAAATCTTCTTGGTCTTTTGATGTCTTGTTTATGGAAGGTCTAACCACGCCAAATTGTGACATTTTTTTGTTGCACTCATTGGGGGTTTGGAACCACAAATTTCTTTGAGGGCCCGCATGCCCTTTTCCGTAGAGCGCAATCGGCCATTTTAATTCTACGTAGGGCATAGACGGACCACTCTAATTCAATGTAGAACATAATTGGCGCATTTTGCATAGAGCGTTTTCGCAGTTTTAATTCTATGTAATGCATTGTAGCCACTTGGAATTTATCGTAAAGCGTAATCGAGAGCTTTCATTATTTAGGGTAGAGCGTTGTCGGGACCTCATGCAGCCCCCCTTCTTTGTGTTTTCAGGATATTCTGAAGCTGTGCAAAAGGGAAAGACAAATTGACAGCATTGCTCAAGCAGTAGAAAGGTAAGAACTTCCAGGTTGTGACATTGCTGTAGTCATATCTCTCCATGCCCGTAGCCAGGGGGGGTTCAGGGGGTTCTTATTATCTAAAGGTCCAAGATTTTTCCTTAGATGGACTGATTCATATCACAAGCGGGCCTGGAATCATATAAAAACTGCCTACTTTGTCATTGAATAAAAAGTTATCTCTGACTTTTTTTCTTTGAAATCCTCTCAAAAACGCAAGAAATGCCATTTTAGAAGGTTCATTTTTCAAAATTTTCCCCCGGACCCCCCTAGGAACCTCGTGCCTACGGCGCTCACAGGCCCCCAGGCACTGGGAAGAACCCCCCCATTCAAAATCCTGGCTACAGGCATGCTTTCTTTGTTTTGTGTTGTTTGATTTGTCATGATTATTGGAGGGTACTAGTACTAAACTGGTTAGTGACTTTAAATATCTGCATGTAGGTAGCTACAGTAACAAAAGGTTTATCATAGGCCACAGCAAGTAAATTTTATGGATGACATCCTCCCCAGATTCCAAATCTAATGCGAGTGGGCGAAAAAAAACAAGGCGGGACGAATAAAACAAGGTTCCTACATTTTTAAATTTTGACTCAATAATTGTCCAAAATGGTTTTGATTCAGTGGGAACATCACATACACACAGCCAGCCAGCATCACATATCACTGCATCAGAGTAAGAAACAAAACATGAAATCAGAGTCTTTTCTTGTCTCCTCTCTTCATAGTTATCTGCCATCCATGTTCCGGTATTACAACAGACATCTTTGCCCATTTTTGGCATGTTGACCACTGTCAGAAGGCAACAAAATTTCTTGTCAGAAATCAGGCGAAAATTAATGTGTGCGCTGATGTCATCCATAAAAATTACTTGCTGTGGCCTTAAACTGTTTGCCACTTTTCTTGCAGTTATGTAGTTGGATCAGTCCACACTAAGATGTGGCAGGCAGTCTGTCAGCAGTGTCAGAAGGAGGAAAGCCTTCTGCAGAAGAAACTGGAAGAACTCAGGGGGGTGACAGGAGAACAGTTGGGTGTGAAGGAGGCTTTCTGCTGCCCCCTACCTGGAGCAGTAAGTACTGCAGGATCTCTACATTACTGGACTAATGAAATCACTGAAATTGGCACTACAACATTGTGCAATTGATGCACACAGTACATATTTTGTGTAACACCTTTTTAAAATCTTTTAAAGAGATTTAGATTTTTTTTCCTTTTTTTTCTTTCATAGAATAGATCATAGTACAAATATGTCAGTGAAAGTAAAACATTATATAGTACAAAATAAACCAGCAAACTCGATAAATTCTTTTAAGAGTCAGACGTTTTAGGTAGCTACCACTATCTTTCTTGCAGTGACTAAGAAAGATGTATGATACTTAGCTTTATTACCTTCAGAAAAGGGAAACATATTATTTTAGGTCAGTTTCTTCTCCTTCATCTGTTTCAAACAAATAACTTAAAGGTAAATGACAGTGGTCACCATGGTTACTGATGATGTTTGATTTCTCCATGTATACTGTTAGGCTAGGTCATGTGAAGGTTATCATTTGCATTTGCTTGCAAATGTTACCTTTCTAGTTTTCAAGTAGTTTTGTCCTTCCACAATACAGGTAGTGGAGTTGGCCACACTAGATGGACTGAAAACACCGCTTGAGAAACTGTCCTGCTTGAAAAGAACATTGGTACGTACATGTACAGCTTGTGATAACTGAGTACAAGATGTTCTGGAAATATGTCTTTTCTTTATCATCATTCTTTTGCCAATGTTGCCAACATTGTAATTAGTCTCAAGTGTGTGTGTAGAGATGTGTGTTTGCTACCTCAGTGTATGAATTCTATTTTTATAGAGTGTGTAGTTGTGTGTTTGCTTGTATTTCCATAGTTCCTTAGGTCAAAGGTCCCAAAAAGTGGGGTCGTGTGGCGCAGTTGGTAGCGCGTTCGGCTCACACCCCAGAGGTCGCGGGTTTGAACCCTGCTCATGTCACCGATCTTGTGCCCTTGGGAAAGGCACTTTACACGACTTTCCTCACTTTACAGGTGGAAATGAGTACCTAGCTTCGGTTAGGGACGTCCCTCGGATAGGACGTTAAATGGAGGTCCCATGTTTGGGAGAGCCACACCCCATGCACGTTAAAGAACCCACCACACTTATCAAAAAGAGTAGGGGGTCTTCCCGGTATGAGTGGTTCAAAACCTTACAGTCCGGTCTTACGCAGCTTGTACATGTACGCACATGTACAAAACTGGTGTGTTAGGCCTAAAGGCGGTTTACCGGTTATGCGAAACAAACAAACAAACAAAAAAAAGGTTTTCTCATTTCCTGTCTTCAATTAACTGCTCTATGCATGTCCATTGTCTTTTTGGGGCTATTTGGGAAATGCAGACAGAATCAGCTATTCAAAATAATAAATTTGATTAAAGAATTTACAAAAATTTCAGTGGTATGAGATCTTTGAGTACTTGTATTTTTGCTGTGTTGTGTTCAGGATAGTGTGAATGAAGAAGTAAACGCCCACCTCAGAGAGAACCAGGACCCCACCAGCGATGACCTACCCTGTCTGGTGTCAGATGACCTAATTCTTCTACTGGTACTCTCTTTTGTCTTGATTTGTATCATTTCTCTAACAGGGCTCGAAATTCATTTTGGGGAATAGGTGCACTGGTGCACCCAACCTAAAAAATTAGGTACACAAAAAAGATTTTAGGTGCACCACATAAAATAAAATAAGTAGAATGTCAGCAAAAACTATATTAGATGTATGTTTCATTTCAAGAAAAGTATTGTAACAATGATTGTATCATTTTTTTCTGACACTTACATGTTAAGAATGTGCTGTAACTACTAATATACATTTACCATCTTTACATACGTTAAACCTAAGATAATAATTGTGCACCCGCAGAAAAAAATTGGGTGCACAGCTCCAAATTTGGGTGTATTTAGAGCCCTGCTCTATAGCTAAGAACCATAAATTTTTGTACATCGTCAGATTGACTCACATTGAAACAAAATGATCTGCCTCACTACATGTATATTCTGAAATGTGACGTTGCCACAGAAGGGACAGAAGACTAGTGATTAAATTTTGCGTGCATTGTACAGTACAGTTACTGTAGTAAATTTGTATAGTTGTACTGTAGACTTTAAGTCAGCTTTTGCATACCGGTACAATACATTTACATTAGGAGACTCAACACCACAAGTTAGACACATATTGAATTTTATGTACAGTATATTTAGAGTAATTATCGATATAGTCATCCTAAGCGTTTTTTGTCCGTTTTAAGAATAAAGCATCTTGATCGTGCTTCTTTTTAGAGAAATTTTTCTCAGTATGGCTCCATATACATGTACTGTACAATTTATATCTATTTTGTCTTTGAATGATTTTTTTGCTTGGCCCAGGTCCCTGTCCTTGTCCAGGCCAGGTGTCTTCACCTCCCCAGCAACGTCTTCTACATCGAAAACTTACAGTGGTCACTGTCTTCCAAGGATGACCTCGGGTGAGACAAGTTATCTTTAAGACGTTAGTTGATGTTCACCTTTGTAGCTGAAGGTTTTGCTTTTGGTGTGTGTGTGTTTGCTTCTATATGTAGCAGTATCTCTACATGCTATGCACATTGGGGGAACCTACAGGAAGTTAGGCCAAAGGTCCCAGGAAAGGTTATCTCATCTCCTGTCTTCAATTTCCCTCTGGTCCGCAAGTTAAAGGACAAGTAAAGTTATTTCAGTTTTGTTGCCTTTCAGCCCAAAATCCTATTTGCAAAAGGTGACCCATTGGTACCAGTCCTGCACACATAGGGGTGATTTTTGACCCAAATCCATGTTCACGTTTGATGCCTGCCTATTCCACCAGGAGGCTGCGGTGACATAATGTGTCCATTTAATCTAAATAACTGGCCATGAAATCACTTCTCTGTTAACGTTAGTACATAAAGAACATCTCCACGAAAAAAAGGATAAACTTTAAGAGAAACCTGGAGGAGGAATAATCACCTGAGAAAGAATTTGGTAGGCTGTTGTCTGTATGTCAGTAGTCCTCCTACAATTACGACATTCGTCATATCTCATCTGAAGCATACATATACTATAGAGTAAATTAGATTAAATGGACACATTACGTCAAAGCAGCCTCCTGGTGGAATAGGCAGCCATCAAACTGAACGTGCGATTGGATTTGGGTCAAATATCACCCCTACGTGTGGGGGGATCACCTTATGCAAATAGGTTTTTGGGTTGAAAGGCACCAAAACTGAAATTACTTTACTTGTCCTTTACGCATGCCTGAGGATAAACAAATTAAATTGGCCTAAAGGTAGTTTTGAAGCATTTTTAACTGATCACTACGTCTTGTTCTATCAGTTTCAGTTTGGTGACCTTCAAGGCCTCGCTGGAGTACATGATGAGTGCAGACTTCAGCCAGCTTAGGGCCACCATGAGTCCCACACAGAAGAACAACGAGGTAGTCTGGAGTTATCTTAAAAGTTCATTTGTGTTAGTAGAAATCATTATGAAGCAAGTTTAAACTGTAATTTCCAACACAACAAATTGGACTCACCCAAATTTTCGACTGTAGAACTCCTGGACCAGTCTTTGTCAACGAATGAGCAATCCACCGCTTCCGTGACATCAACAGAGACGGGGGGCGCCACAGACTTTCTGCAACCTATGACCCACTGCTCAAGGAGTTACACTTTGAAATTACAGGTTTGAACTGTACAAAACATGGGCTTATCCAAATGTTCCACCATTCAAGTCTAGTCTAGAAATGATCAATCCACTGCTTCTGTGTCATCATGTTATGCAGACAGAACATGCAATTCAGTCAGCATAAGTAGCAGGAAGTTTGTGGCACCCCCCGTCTCTGTTGATGAATGGTTGTTACGCTCTGATGTACACACTGTATATGGCTCCTTTAGGCCAAACCAATTTAATTTGTTGGTTCTCGGATTTTTTCAGAAAAAAATATGAAGCAACAGGGCGAAAAAAATAAAAAATAAAAATTGGTCTTGGCATCCTATTATAGCCCCAGATGCTAGCATAGGAGCCATGAAGTCAACACAAAAGGCTGGGTTAATATTTAAACAATGAATTTTTAACTTTTGATCAAACCACTGCATTGATAGATGGAAAACATGTAACAACTAGGAAGAAAAGGACTTTCCTCAACTGTTGGAGGCAAAATATGAGCATATTTGAGTTGATTCAGAACCAGAATCTTTTTTTTTGAAGAGGTGAATCCGAGAACCAACAAATTAAATTGGTGTGGCCTTAATTCATCTTCCAAAGAAGTCTGGGTCAAAATCGCTTTTGCTCTTTTGCTTTCACTTTCTGTAGATCTCCATCCCCGAGCTGATGCAGGCTGCCCAGCACATGACCCTCCAGCCCGGACCTGGGGAGTGGGAGGGGAGGGGGGCAGGGGCAGAGGCTGAGTCCCCGGGAAAGATGACGTCATTCGACAGGAAACTGGAGAGCATCACCAGAATGATGGAGAGGAGTTCACAGGAGGTGCTAATTTTTTTTTACCGTTTTAACGTAATTTTCCCCGAACCGGGGTTAGACGTGCTTGCACGAAGTAGAAGTCTTTTCGTTGAAGCAAGATTTTTATGGCTGGATGCCCTTCCTAACGCCAACCCAAACCCTAGTAGGGTCCAGGATCCCTCTAACTGAGGGGGAAATACGTGTTAAGTGCCTAAAAATTCCCAAGGGCACAACGTGGGTGCATGTCCGGACATGTCTAGGTCCAGCCCTGGGGATTGAACCTGGGTCCTCCTGCTTGACAGTCAGATGTTCTCCCATTTCCGCAAATAATTTCATCAGGTTGGAAGATACTTAGGGTATAGAGTTTTCTTCATACACAACCAGAGAGGTTCTCACCTGCTTACGTTTCGATGTCTATCAGACACCTTCCTCAGAGCTTCTGACTGGAGTTCTGCAACTCGCCGCTATTTAACCGGGACAAGGGGGGATACAAGCTCAGCCACGTTTGGGATTGCATTCTCGCCGCAAAAGCGCCACCTACTTTGGCGTTAAATAGCGGCGAGTTGCAGAACTCCAGTCAGAAGCTCTGAGGAAGGTGTCTGATAGACATCAAAACGTAAGCAGGTGAGAACCTCTCTGGTTGTGTATGAAGAAAACTCTATACCCTAAGTCAGATGTTCTATCCACTACACCACACAGACGCCACGTCTGCATTTTTTAAATGTTTACCGAAGGAAGTTTGGGAAAACATTGTTGTTGCGCTTCTTCTTCTTCTGTTCCAAACAAATAAGGTCAATGACCAAGACCAGACATCTGTCACCATGGTAACTGGTGTTGGGTTACATCATGTTGCAAGTGCCATGCAGAACTGAGTTCAAGAGGGTCTGCATGGTCACCATATACATGTATATCAGTGTCTTTGAGTAAGAATAAACCAAGCAGTAGTTTAATTCTGTTAAGCTGGGCCATCTGAAGGTATAAATATAAACATGCAAATGTTATTTACCTTTCTAGTTATTTGATTTTTCTGAAGTACATCATGTATTGTTGGCAATATTGCATACACAAAGTGTGAAAAAGTTGAAACTTTCAGTTTATGACAGCTAGTTTTTCTATCCACAGCTGGCAGCTGCTCCTATGCCACTAAAATCCATCACAGGTGAGCAACACCTTCTTTCCACCAGAGCCTATGACCACTGAACTACTGCTGAGCCATTTAAAATACATGTACTCATATAGAATACAACATGGTGTATTTTGTATTGCCCAAGGTATTGGCCCGACTCGTTGGAGGGCTGGGGCCAAGGGTGATGTGGAATACACCGTGTTGTATTTTATTTATATATCATACCCACCCAAGAAAACACGCCTTTCAATGCTGAATGAGCCAAGATTTGGTGTCCCTAAACCACGAAGTGCAACAACATCTATTCCAATATCCGAATACTGTATTTGAATTTTTGAAAATTAGCGGCGCCCATGGTTAGGGGAAACGTGTTCAAATCTTTCTGTGGAAGCCAGGGCCATTCTGTAACGTATAGCCCGGTCGGGAACACCGTTATCGAAGGTTACATGTATCATGGTCGGGTATGATATAAAATGAATTACATCCTATTAGATAAAGAATTTTTTTCATTTTTGTTTCTCTGAATCTGAATCATGGAAAAGAAAGAAAAGAGGCAAAATTAACAAGATTTTACTTGCTGTTGTCTAATTCTGAACTTTCATGTTAAGGCCACGGCAATTTAATTTGTTATTTCTTGGATTTTTTCAGAAAAAATATGAAGCGACAGGGCAAAAAAAAAGGCCAAGTCACCCCATGATAGCCGGAAATGTTGCAATATGAGCCATGAAGTGAATATATCAGACTGGTTTATAGTTAAAACAATAGATTTTGAACTTTTAAAAATTGCATTGTAAAAGTTACATTGGAAAACTTTAACAACTAGGAAGAAAAGGACTTTCTTCAACCATTGGGGCCAAAATATGTCTTTCATTGAGCATTTTGCAGTTAATTTAGAACATTTTTTTTTGCAAATCAGAAAAAATGGACAGGGCAATCCAAGAAGCAACAAATTAAATTGGTGTGGCCTAATGTTAACTATCTTGTCAGGAGAGACTGGTGACCAGCAGAGAGCGGGAGGAAAGCGGGGTGAACAGGTTCCTGATGTCATTCCTCTCAGGAAGGCTGACAAGTCCGGACTGGGGTAAGAACAACCATGTAGTAATGTACGGTGTAGTGCTGTGTACCAGTTCGCTGGACCAACTAGTAAAAATGTTCAGGTTCAAGTAAAAAAAAAAACTTAAAAGTCAAGAACCGATTCCGGACTTATTACAAAAAATCCCATGTCACATACCCTTTTTCTTTCCAAGTCACCTAAAACCTTCCATTGCAGAACCTGTGCTGCAAAATGAAGAAAACATTGCCATCAGGCATTGTCAACTGTCGGCCTCCAAGTTTTGCCCAGGTTTGCAAGGTTGCCAGCATGCAATTTTGCATATGCCATGGGTTAAGGTCCAAACTTACGAGTCCAGAACTTAACCTAAACCTCTGGACTTGAATCTGGACCTGAACCTAAATGTGGGTTTAGGTTCACAGCACTAGTACGGTGTTCTAGCCATCTAGCCAGGGCCAGTCTTTTGACCGCCATTTGACTGAATTTTGCTGCTCGTGAATAGACAAAAATTGTGCCCAATTTGTTATCTTTGAAGATCAAAACTTGATGTGTAAAATTCTGCTGCTATGCAGTTGATGATGCAATGTCAAAATAGACTGTGCAAGAAAAGTGTCATACATGATATGCATGTAATCAAGTCTCTGTATAACCAAGTCTTTTTGTCTTTCTTTCAGAGATTTTCTGTCATCATTACAAGATGATTTTGGATGTTCATATGGGAAGCAGACATAATGTTCCATGGATGCACAATTTACAGGGCTTGAAGTACCAAATGCATATGCAGGTATTTCTGATGTGCATTTATACCTGCACCTAACCTGCACCAATATGTATGTAACCTGCACTGGGCTATGTAATGGATTCATATATACATGTGATGTACCTGGTGTATGGATTTATTTACTTCATTTACTGTTACCACCTAGGCTATAAGTGTAAAAGATTATTTTTTGAACAGTTTTTAGTGCGGTCCATACCTCCTAAGTCATTGGTGGTGCAGGTAATTTTCAATGTATTTTGAGCCCTGACATATGTCAATAAATTGTCATGATAAAACACATATCCCTTTCTTTTCAAGACACATCTAACTTTGATACAGATTGGTTGCATGAGAATTGAGGTATGATGATTTTTACAGAAGTTGCAATATCTACATTGTGTTCATTTGAGGTGTAATTGCTGAATCTGGAAAGTAGGGACCATTCTAGTCTGACTAGATGTACATATCTGTTTAAAGTTAAAACTTTTGATCCAACAACAAAGAAATCTCTCACCTAGAGCTTTTGACCAGTCACTCTGGTCTTCCTCAGTAGACAGACCCAGTGAAGCTTGTCACGTGGCTTCTTTGAAGTGTGACGTCAACACTGGCATGGGTCAAAGGTATCTGGTTGGATCAAAAGTTTTAACTTTAAACATGTAACTACCAACACAGATGAACTTTCATGATAGATGTACATATCATTCTTCTACAATGTATTAGCTCTTCCATATAGGTCAGCATCTCTAAGTCAGGAGAATCAGGATCATCTTAATCCTGTTGATTTCTGCATACATTTACATGAGCTAATACTGATCAGAAACTGTCATTATTGTCAGACTATGCAATGCCTGTTACCGTAGCAATGGAGGCTGTGATGACTGGTTTCCATGGTGACAGAGAATCCTGAGCTCCTATTGGACTGATTTTCACAGTGATAAAGAACCATGAGCTCCTATTGGACTGATTTTCACAGTGATAAAGAACCCTGAGCTCCCATTGGACTAATTTTCACAGTGATAAAGAGCCCTGAGCTCCTATTGGACTGATTTTCACAGTGATAAAGAACCCTGAGCTCCGATTGGACTGATTTTCACAATGATTAAAAACCCTGAGCTCCTATTGGACTGATTTTCACAGTGATAAAGAACCCTGAGCTCCTATTTGGACTGATTTTCACAGTGATAAAGAACCCTGAGCTCCTATTGGTACGTAGTTCTGGGAATGGCAACGGTTCTCACATATATGCATTCAGTACAGGAAAACCACACCTTCCAGTGAAGCATGCAATATGCATACCCAAACCTGCATTTTAATCTATTTTATTCAATCAAAGTTATAAGCTTGTTTAATATGTTAATGCCTAATTTTATTTGCAGTTTACAAAGCTGTCTTATTTATCTATACCTAAATATGATTATGCTAAATGCTATAATATATATTCTATTTATTTCACTCCATACTTTAGTATGGAGGGAAATACTGTTTTTACTGATGATTCTCCTCCTTCTTCTTCTCCTCCTGCCATTTCTTTAAATTGATTCAATTCCTTCATTTTTGGGCCAAACGACCTGGAATTTCTTATAAAGGTAGAGTGGTTAAATACCCCTAGGCGTTTTTTAATTTTTTTTTTATACAAGCTTTTACAATCGTTTTATTTGCGTTTTTAGCTGTTCCCATAGGAAAGTACTGTGGGGCGTACGCGCGTGACGTAATAAGAAAGGAATTCGGGGGCGGGCCCAAATATGGGCATATGCAAGCATGCAACAGGTGTGGCCATTTTTGTAGATCTGGCTGTTGATTGGCTGATGGCTAATTGATTTATTTTCTACCACCTACGCCTGGTAGGCACATTCTTATGTTTGTTTACAAGTTTGGCCAGCGAAAAGGAGTGTTGTAAAAGCGGTGGAAACATGATCTAGCTACAGCTACAGGGCTTTTTTTATCCAGCTAGCCAATTTCTCCCATGAAAAGACCCTGTGTTAATATGCATATTTTATGCCCGCTACGGCGAAACTGCTATCAACAATACAACAAAAGGTTCGGGTTACATTCCAGCGGCGATACCCGCCAAATAGGCAGGTAAGCTAGACATAACTGTTACATTTACATTTAGACATTTTTGCCCTCATTTTACTGGCCAAACTTAGTATTTTGCCGCAATACGTCGTAGTTATGGGTTCACCACACCACGAAGTGGTGGTGAACCCATATTGCTTTTTCTGATGTTTCTTCTCCTTCTCCTCCTTCTCCTCCTTCTCCTGCCACTTCTTTAAATTGATTCAACTCCTTCATTTTTGGGCGAAATTACCTGTAATTTCGTATAGAGGTAGAGTGGGTAAATACCCTTAGGCGTTTTTTAAATTTTTTTGATACAAGCTTTTACAATCGTTTTATTTGCTTTTTAGTGGTCCCCATAGGAAAGTACTGTGGGGGCGTACGCGCGTGACGTAATAAGAAAGGAATTCGGGGGAAGGCCCAAATATGGGCATACAAGCAGGTGTGGTCATGTTTGCAGATGTGGCTGTTGATTGGCTGTTGGCTAATTAATTTATTTACTACCATTTTCACGTACCAGCGCAGCTGGTCCACGCGGTCTCGGCCGTGGGCCATGATACTCTGATACTGGATACCGATTCTTGTGATTCCTATAAACATTTCACCTAACTACGAACTAGTTGGAAGAATTATAGCTGCATGGATGCCTGTATATGATTTTAACAAACACTGAAAATCTGACGCAAAAACTGGCAGATATTTTGCTCTTCTCTGTTGGAACAACGCAAGCGGGAGGTCAATGACCTGCGCCCCGCGAGTACTGTAAACAACGATACGCGCGCGCCACGGTATCAACAATTTTCCACAATCTTCACCGACTAGTATTATATATTCTGTTATCGATTTCTGAAGAATCACCAAAATTATAGAGTGTATCTCCTAGAAAGTCCCTTACTAGTACTTGAAGCGATCGTTACCGCCATGTTGTTCACTTTATATGACATACAATGCAGGGAGTAATGGAAACGTGTCCAGATAGCTCGGTTGGTAACGCGCAGGGCTGCAAGTCCAGACATTACGAGTTCGAACCCCGGTACACTGGATATTTTTAATTATCCTTTTTACAATTTTTAACAATTTTAACATTTTTAACAATTTCAACAATTTTAACCATTTTAACCATTTTACATTTTTAACAATTTCAACATTTAATTTTAACATTTTCGTTTTAATATCCATTGCTTTGCTTTTAACATTCCAAAACTGATTGTTCTTACTCAAGAATTTCAATAACTTCGAATGTTAGTCTTTTGTATTTTTTCAACATACAAACCAAAATCACTTTGATGTTGTCACAAAAGTAACATCTGTGCGCGCATCGGTTTTCGTTCATTTAAAAACTACAAGTACAAAACATCTGGAAACTAAGCAAACATACTCAGTAAATTGATTGCTGTAATTCCCGATTTTTTTTCACTGTACCGCAACGCAAGCGGGGGGTCAATGTTCACGGTTTTCACTGTCACCTCTGTATTGTGAACTTATCATTACAGTTAGGAAATAATTCCTGGACTTTCTTTTTCCTGCAACTGTCACCACCGTGAATATATACTTCCGTGAACATGTCCATTTTTCTCAGGCCGTGAAAATTTTGCTTCCGTTAGTAGTACTTACAATCTCGTCAAAAGTGTAAAGTAAAGCTGTCGAGATTTAAAGTGTCGTTGTATCTTTGTAAAAAAAAAAGGGAGATAATTGCCAAGTGCCAGTTTTGTAAATACCTGTCGAGATTCAAACAGCTTGTCCTTGTATAATTGCAGTATGATTTATTTAGAATCTCTCATTTTTGTTTGGGGAAGGGTATGGAGTGAAATTCCTACATTTGCTCCGAAGCAAATGTTGGCCTTTCTAGTTATTACACACTTTACAATAACGCAGAGCTGTGTTTGCTGCTACATAAGCTACAAATGTACATTTTAATTGCTCCAAATATATACTAGTAGATATTTGAATTGTCATGTTTAACCCTCAGCATGTTAACTATAAAGGTAGCAGTTTTGCACCAAATTTGTAGTGGTTATGGGGTTTTGCAGCAGGAAAAGGTTAATATACATGTATACATGAAGTACAAAGTATGACTCTGGTATATTATACATGATTGCTTCATAAAAGTGTTGAAATGGTAATGTACCACATTTGTGCTTTGATTCAAGTTAAAGCTTAAAATTGGAGGGATACTCAGAATAAAGTCTACCAACTGAGAAATATAGGTTTTGTTGTTTATTCTCTTTTAGGCAGGCTAACTCCCTTGCCAAATGTCTGACCAACCTATGTCTACTTTGCAACATTTATCCTCCAGATGAGACAAGTGGGCCAAGTCCGTATACTCTAACTTGTGGTTCCTCAAGGCAAATATATTGCCATGGGAACGGGATAGCACTGCTTTGGATAATGGTATTTAGGTACAACAGGAGGCATGGAAGGATAATTCAGTACCAAGGACAGAACTGTGGTCCCAATAGTAGCTTGTTCTAGAATGTAGGGGAGTTGTGGGAGAAATTTAAATTTTTTGAAAGTGAAGTCCAGAAAAGAACAGCGTATTTTCTTAATTATGGGATCTTTAATAGAAGCTAATTATGCAAATATTGACCTAATCTACATAATCAGTATCCAACTGCCGTATTCAACAGCATTACCTATCCGGAAGACAAAACAAATAGCCTGGGTACCATCCGTATTCGGAGCGGTGTACAGGTGGCACCCGGGCTAAAAACTAACTGGCATTTGAACTCTGGGATACCTTACATGATCTGCCTCATAAGCCAGTATGAATTTAATGTGTCTATGCTGATGTGTTAATGATCAAAGTAAAAGTAAAAACAATCAATCAGAGCCTAATGTCTTCTCGTATCTATCTGTCATCCAATTCCAACTTAGCAACAGACTTATTTGCCCAGTTTTGGCATGTTGACCACAGTCAGGGGACAACAAAATTTCTTGTTTTCTTCCCCAAATCAGGAAAAATTCAATGTGCAGGAAAAATATGATGTCATCCATACAAATTACTTGCCTAAGGCATGGCCTAAGGTATGGTTATTAGTAAGGAAACCAACATGAAATGATGATGAATAAAAATGTAGGCTATTATCATATATTAAAAGTTCTCCACAAAAGATGACAAATCCCATTGAAATTTTATCAATTTTATTTATAAAGCATTTCATGCAAAGCAGTAAATTTGGTGATGTACCAATATGGGCATACAACATGAATTTGATATGGTGCATGCATGGTGCATAAAACGTTTAAATATAGGTATATATATTCATAGACACACACACACACAGACATACACACAGTCACACACACACACACACACACAATCACACACAGTCACACACACACACACACACACACACACACACACGATTGATAATTGACTAAATTACATGTTAATTAAGCGGGCCATGCACACACATATTTACAGATCCGTGAATCATTGTCCATAAGTCGAGCCTGGTTTGTGTCCGTTGAATCCATCTGGTGTCATCATTTGTTGCACACGTGTTAATGATATTATTTTGTCATATCTGATTATCATACATCTGACATGTCTAGTTATGATACATTTGTCATATCTGGTTATGATACTTTTGTTAAATCAGGTTATCATACAATTGTCATATCTCAGGATATGATACATTTGTCATATCTGGTTTTGATACATTTGTCATATCTGGTTATAGTTGTCATATCTGGTTATGATACATTTGTCATATCTCAGTTTATGATACATTTGTCATCTGGTTTTGATACAGTTGTCATATCTGGTTATATTTGTCATATCTGGTTTTGATACAGTTGTCATATCTGGTTATATTTGTCATATCTGGTTTTGATACAGTTGTCATATCTGGCTATATTTGTCATATCTGGTTATGATACAGTTGTCATATCTGGTTATATTTGTCATATCTGGTTTTGATACATTTGTCATATCTCAGGATATGATACATTTGTCATATCTGGTTATGATCTATTTGTCAAATTGGTTATGATACATCATATCAGATATATCATATCTGGTTTTAATACATTTGTCATATCTGGTTATATTTGTCATATCTGGCTATGATACATTTGTCATATCTCAGACTGTAATACATTTGTTGTATCTCAGATTATGATACATTCATCATATCTGGTTATGATACAATTGTCATATCTCACTCAGTCTGGTTATGATACATTTTGTCATATCTGGTTTTGATGCAGTCTTGTTATATCTGGTAAAATTTGTCATGACTGGTTGTGATACATTCATTTTTAATTTACAATATATTCTTGACTAAAAACCTTAAGTATACATTTCTAATCCTTCCTTAATATTTTTTTTAACTTGTACACTTAAAGCTTTACTGGTTAGCTTCCTTGGCCTAATGAACAGAAAATACATTTTGAAAATATGATTTTTATATACATTCTATTATTTTGTTACTTTTGGTTTCAGATTACTGTCAGGTCCACCTGTGATACATTGTATTTTGTTGATATCCAAAGCATGGTCAGCCAAAACAATAAGAATTTCTTTTTTTTTCTGGACTAAAAGTATATGACAATGTTTCACACAAACCACAAGCTAGGAGCCTCAGAGTACCGGATCATTCTCTCCCTCTCTTCTCTCTGTGTCTCTTCTATTTGTCTCTCTTCTCTGCGCCTCTCTCGTCTACATTTCTCATCTCTGTCCAGCTTCTCTAACATCTCATGCATCTGATCCAGCTGGGTGAACTGGTCTTTCCTAGCCGCCGGTTGTCGTGTTTCAGGCCTGTTTGCGATGGTTTTGATCTTGTGTGCCACTCGACACACCTCCTCCCACAGGTACGCCATCATTTCCATGTCCTCAGGTTCGCTGCTCTTCACTTCCATGTACACGTCCATGATGATGGTCATGAACATGGACAGGAGGAGAAATTGGGCGGTGAACTGAAAGGACAGGAAGATGGCGGGGCCCCAGACGGGAGAGCTCTCTTCCAAGATGGCAAACTGAAATGAGCCCAGCATCATGTTGAAAAGGCTGGTGTACGTGCTCAGCAAGCTGCTGTACCCTGACATGGCGATGCCCAGGGTGAGGTTAGCTGCCAGCGCGAATGCCGTGAAGACGATGCCTGAAATGACGAAGAAACTGACGAGGGGCTTCGCCGTCTTCTTCATGGTGTACAGAAGCGCGTTGACGTGTTTGTTGAACTTGAGAAGCCGGATGAACTTGACTAAGGTGAAACAGGTGAGCGCGCCGAGCAGGTACGTGTACACCTGGTGCCACATGGCGGCTGCTCGGTACAGGTGGAACAGGACGTGTCCCTCCTTCAGGTACTCGGAGACCTCGTCTGTCATGCCCTGGGCGCGGGCGTACAGCCCCATGGCGGCCATGCCTGTGGTGATGATGAGCATCTCTAGCCAGCTCCAGGGGTCCGTCAGGTAAACCATTCCGTATGTGTTGAACTTCAGGACTGGACGGGAGAAGGAAAATGGTTTAAAAACAAGGAACCAGTACCTACATTGTACGTACAGAGATAAGAGAGGCACTAATGTCATGTCAGCTCCAGGGGTTGGTCAAGTAAGAATTAATCCCCCTTGAATTTAAGGTAGAGATAAATTTAGGCAAAGGGCATTAGGCACTTGTCATGTCAGCTCTATGGGCTGGATACAGGTAAGCAATTCCGTATAGGGAGAAGGAAATGGTTTAAACACAAGGAATACCTAGTAGAGAAAAACATTTAAAGTGACATTGGGTTTAATTTGCCATGTAACAAGAAGTAAGACAGCCATGTTAGCACTCTGTCACATCCACTTAATGTATTAATCTTAATGGCCATAGCCCTACATGAATAGTAAAAAGCTCATCAACTGACACCATTGAGTCAGCACTGCTAGAACAATTGTTGTTGTACCTAATTTTACAGTTACTGTAGTAGTACAAGTAGACCCAAGGTTGCAGTAGTACTAAACTCTCTATAACACAGGGTTCACATGCCGCTACAGTTTCAGTGCAAGTCCATCTCTCCATCGTATATACATGTAGTGTTATAACAAGCATAACACTTTCTATCACAATTCAAATGCATGACCGTCATAATTTACAATCATTGTTGTCTCACAAATCAACGTCATAAATTCATAACTCTGCTGGGTACCTATAATAATAATAATAATAAATGGTTTTTATTGTCCAAACAGTACCCGTGCAGTCGCAGCCTTTAACGGCTGAATTGATGCAGGGTATCACATACTTTGCCATACTTTGTACACTGTACAATTGTTGCGCAATAAAGTTATTTATTCATAATAATCAATACAAATCACAACAATTACAACAATCAAATAATACACATGATACACATATTTGTTCCACAATTAATTTGTGGAACTGTCGCAAGGGTCTGTGCGGCTGCCATTCGGCGCCACAAGGTGACCTCAATACGACTTTCCCCAACCAAAGTTAGGTACCCATTTACACCTGGGTGGAGTGAGGAAATTCGTGTAAAGTGCCTTTCCGAAGGGCACGACGTCGGGGAGCATGTTCAGACATGTCCCGGGTACGACTCGGAATCGAACCCGGGTCTCCCGGTTCACAGTCGATTGCTCTAACCACTACACCACCCGACGCCACCAACTAGCAATGCTACACTGGAAAAATTGGTGTTATTAGTGACTTCACAATTATAATGTTTTAGCTTGAACACCTGGTATTGAAAGATTTACAATAACACTCACCTTCCTTAACAAGGCTGAAGAGCAGAAAGATGATCAGGCCCATCCGTAGGACCAGAAGCAGGACCTGGCCTTCATGGTGAATCCTGAAGATCACCAGCTCTGTTGCCACGGAGGCACGCCCGGTGATGTGGAACTCGGTCGTCATGGTAACCACGGCAAAGAGGTTGGCGTGAGGGTTGTAGAGAACCGCCTCCGTGAAGACCGCCCGGGTCCGGTTGTCCAGCCAGTCGTTGGAGATGAGATACGTCAGGGTCCGGAGGCTGTCGTTGAGCGTCCTGCCCAGGGCGACGATGTAACCACCACTAGGGTACACACCATGCTCCCCAACGTACAGGAAACCTGGAGAGATTGTAATGAATGTAAATTCTAGGGTACAGGCGCAAAAATGTAAATCTAACCCTTGTCCTGTTGGTATTTTTACACAATATTTTCCAATAATTTCATGTCTTAATTAGGTCATAGACCCCTGACTTTTTTGCCCTGCGGTGGCATAGTTTATAATTTCCTCATTTGTTGCATTTCGCTGCGGTGTGATGCATTGCACGAGAAATACCCCAAAATCGTACCTACACAGAGTGCTAAATAGACACTGTATGTGCAAAACAACAATTGTTGGGCTCCACAGGACAAGGGCTAAATTAAGTGTCATATGGCCTTTTTTGAAGCTATAGGAGCAGTGGGTTATTAGTCCACTTTGTCTTCATCAATTCATTGACCACAGTAAGAATATTTGGTGTGCAAACATGAATCTTGTTCTTGTTCAGTCATGAGACTACAACACATCCTGTCCTTTACTGTTTCTTTGAATTGCTGCAATGTGTAGCTGCACACACACAATATATATATATCAGAATGAAATTTTGCAGCCAGTGTACTTAGTGAGCACCTCTGCATATTGAGGGCCATCAGTAGAAGTAGTACAATGTAATAATAGTACCAGTCACATTTTTTGGTGCCTTTAAGTAGTTTTTTTAGGTCACTTCATTGGCATTAAGAGTCCTCAGTCTATAGTGGCCACCTGTCTACCATGTCTTTTATGTTGAGTGGTCAATCTACATGTATGACTGTTTTTTGAGTGTACAATAAGACCGTAACTGTATGATAACTGACTGACCATTGTTGATATCCCCATACGTGTAGTCCCATGGAGACATGATGGTCCTGTTGTCAGTACTGTTGTCATGATTCGTGTAGTTGGCAGCCACACCCCAGTTGCCGTCGTAGCTGCCTGTGTCCAGTTTACTCGCAGAGTATTCATCCAGACAGCTGGCTGCGATGTGAGCCATGGCATCAGGAATGGTGCAGTCTTGTTCTGTGTAGAATACAGGAATCAGAATCAAGGAAGAACTTTATTGCACGACAATTGCACATGGTACAATGTAATTGCAAACTACATAAAGAGAGTAACAACAATAAAATAAATATGTTGAATAAGACCTAATGTCAGATAAAACCTAACATATCTTAATTATTCCAACAATAAAGGATAGCACAAGTCTTTGATAAAGTGTGGGCTAATCACAAGTTTCAGTATTTTTCCTGATAACAAAGCATTCCTAAGTTATATATCTTATTTTTTGCGTTGTGGGAACCATTACATGTAAAGATATATTCAAATCTGTCTCCAACATCGAGACTCTTGAAATCTAAGTGTGATGCAGATACAGCAACAAAGATTCAGTCCATAATTTTCCCCCATAGGTGCAAGTATTAAATGACCAGTACCCAAGAAGGCCACCTGTCCAAGAAGACCACTTCACCTCAGTCTCCTGTGCGGCCTTCTTGGACAGGTTTGTCTGTACAGCAATTCTAGTTTGATGTAAACATGATATAACCATTGTGTAACTCTGCATGAATGTTTTTCTGACTTGCTGTGACCTGGTTTTTAAAGGTAAGCTTGAATTTAAGACTATGCATCATAACTACAAATAGTCATTTTTAAGAAAAAACAAAGAATGACTGTGATCTTAAGAAATAACTAGAATTGTTTACTCCTGAACTTAGTTCTAATACAAATTATATTTATTTCTAAACTAGAGTTCCCCGATCTCATACCTTCGCCAAATGACTGACAAATTATAGATTAGATTATTCCCCCCTGATTTAAGAAATAGGAACCTAATTTTCACGAATTATATCATTTTATCATAATCTCAACCAAAAGACAGTCTTATATAAACAAACAAGGCATTCTTCTAGTATTTCCTAATAAATTATGCAAATGAGGTCCTGATTTGAATAAATTATGTTTAATGATGTTCACCTCAACTTAACTTTCAAATACCATAAGTATGAAATTACAGGCAGTTATCATTACATAATTATAAAATTTTCTCATTAATTATGCAAATTAAGTCATTATTAACATAATCAATATCTGCCTGTGTTTCTCTCGTTGTCAATTACCAATGTCACAAGCTTCAATTGTCTTATTATGGAATGCAGCTGATTTATAGAATTTCCCCATAAATTATGCAAATTACATCCATATTCGCATAATTGTCACATAATTATATTAAGCATCACGTAAGCTACCTACATACCAAAAATCACGACGATCCATCAACCGGTTATTGAGTTATCCTCTTTTGAATATTTTCAAGAATATATCCCTGCAGTTCCAGAGCAAGCCACTAGGGGGCCCAAACTCACGTCACTTCTTCCCCAGCACAAGAGCTACCTACCACCCAAATTTCATCACCATAACATGTCTAGATCATGAGATATCAAAACCGGAAGTTCAGCTGCAGTACCATAACAAGCCGCTAGGGGGTCCAAAATCTAATCATTTTGAGGTCTCATCAAGACCTACCCACCTACCAAGTATCAAGACAATCCATCAAGGCCTTCTCAAGTTATCGTGTTGACAGACAGACAGACAGACAGACAGACACACACACACACACACACATACACGAACGCCTCTGAAAACATAACCTTCTTGGCGAAGGTAATCATGCTATTGAATCACAGGCAAATTATGTATATTAAGGAAATGACATGCAGTAGTATGCACAGAAAGTCCCTAACCTTGTGTGATGCGAACTTGTCGTAGCTGTAAGGGGGAGATGGCGTGTGTGAGGTGCTCAGACAGAGTCAGGTTTCCCTCACACGGCCTCCCGTTGTACCAGGCTGGGCTGTGGACAGCAGGCAGGACGTCCCGCTCCAGCCATGTCCAGTAAGATGCAGGGTCAGATATCTGGGGTAAATAGAAAACCACCAGACCCGAACTATGTGCATGAACTGTACAAATCAATTAATAAACTGGGTGCATGTTTACCAACTACTAAGAAACTTTACCATCTCAGAAAAGAACAAGAAATAGTCTTGCCTTAATTATGGGTCAGTGAGAGTTATCAAGGAATTATTGAGGTATTCAAATCTTGTTTTTCTTCAAGAACCTAATTGTAGAGTGAAATGTGCTGCCAGCAAGTACAATAGGGGCATCATCACTAGATAATTTTGAACCAGTGTGAAGTCACTAGGAGGATAGTCAGTGTGAATGTAAGTTCAGCACCAGGGACAGGACCAGTGTGAAGTCACTAAGAGGATAGTTTACAGTTAAATGTGCAAGTGTAGGAGAAACAAGTCATTTGGAGTAATACTATACATTTGTACATGTACATTGCAGCCAGCTGCTGCCAAGCCACGTGCCTGCAAAGCTCAGGTGTGTAACAATGGCAACACGGGGTGGTTACATGTTATGATTCTGTTTCATCTCGTCTCATGAATCGTTTAAGCCCTCGTAAGCCCTCCTTATGTGACAATCATTGCAAAATGGAAAGTTCTGGTACTAAAGCATCTGCAGATGATTTTTTTTTGGCCAGCAAGTGCAAGGAACCCCTGTTACAAATCGAATGGCACCCACTGGCAGATAGTGTGAGAATCTTTTACCCACCGTTGAGAAAGTGCCTTCCAGAGCACTCCTGATGGAGTTGTTCATGTAGAAGGCCAGGCTGCTCCTCTCTGTGTAGGACATGAGCATGAGGACAGACAGGAACAGGCCGTACACCACCATCTCCCGCAGGATGTGGCGGCACCTCTTCCTCCTGACACGCTGGGCTCGGTCTCTGGTCAGGGTTTCACCAGCCAGGGGGGCTGTGGCAGCCACGTCAGCAGCGGACTGTCAACAGACAAATTTTGTACACAATAAGTCCCTTAAGTCCTCTGCAGAGTCTGCCTTTTTCTGTCTGCAAGCTGTTTTAAGTAACAGTGCATTTGGGGTTCTCAATGCTTATGTCAATGTCACACTTTGTTATTACTTGGTGATTAGTGTGTAATCATGCATTAATTTAAAAAAATATTAAATAACTTCAATTTATTAATTTCAATTTGTTCTGCCATAAACGTAAATTGTACAACAAGATATAATTTAACCAATGGCTACAAGTTCTTGTTTGTTTTTATAATATAAACTATAGTATTTTTTGATTGATTGATTGATTGATTGTTTTGCATAGCTGGTATAACGCATAAGGTGTAACACATCCAGTTTTGTGCAGTATATAGGCCTAAGTACAAGCCAATTGTAAAACTGGACTTTAAAGTTTGATCTGCTTACACCAGTGAGAATGAACCCCCGGCCTAACTCTTTCTGATAAGTGCAATGAGTTCTCCAACATGCCATAGGGGTAGCTCTCCTTAAACAGCCAAGAGGACAGTCCCTAACCAAAACTAAGTACTACGTATTTTGACCTGATCCAAGTGAGAAAACAGGTGTAAGGTACTGTTACCCTTTCCAAGATCAAAACATTGGGGCCTGCTTGGGATTTGAACCCAGAACCTTTAGATTTTAAGTCTAAAACCTTAACCACAAGTTGCTTAAAGTTTCCATGCTCACCTGTTCAGCCACCTCCTGCAGGTACTCTTCATCACCTGCCACTTCTGTAGGTGGCGGGTCGTCATCTGTTGTTGGTTTCTGAGACAAACACAAACAAACATGTCAAAAACAATACTTTAAAGGCCACATCAATGCCTTAATGGCCTTTGTCATTGAATTTTTCCAGCAAAACAAAGGAGTGGATTTTCAAAATGAAAACAAAAAAGAAACAAGTGACAAAGTAATACTATGTAAATTTCAAGAAAATGTTTTTTCAAAGAGCATCAATAACATATATATGGACTATGTCTAGCTTATTAAATTAACTTAGTACAACTTGAAACTTGCATATTTTTCAATCCTGATGAAGGTGACAGAGGTTTTTGAAAATCTCTCTATACTCTTTGAGTTGGAATAAAAGTTCAACATTTTATTACTGTTACTACCAACATAGATATACCACACATGGTACGGTTGCTGAACCTGTAAAATAATTTGTCCCTTTCATTTTAATCTGCTTAAGAATGT